ACTCTGAAAGTTCTGCCCACATAATATTTCATAATTTTCAATTAGCTAAGTGGCATATTTTCTATTGTAAAACCTTGTCAATCGTCATTTTCTGCTTTCATATTATTACTATAATTTTTTCTAACTTTTTATAGTAGAACGGATCATGGAAGTTTTTGAAATAAATGATAATTTAAATATTTCGGACATTTCAGTAAACTTCTCTTTGTCGCAAAATGACACATTAGAATATTTCACTGACTCTTTTCCGATATCAGATGTGATTAACATTACGGATTCGTCCCCAGTGGTCACACTGACTAGTTTGTCAACAGCCGACATTGTTCGAATTGCTTTTTATCTCCTGATATTCGTCTTCGCCGTTTTGGGCAACGTTTTGGTCATTGTGACCCTAATCCAGAACAAAAGGATGAGAACGGTGACCAACGTTTTTCTGATGAACTTGGCAGTTAGTGATCTGCTTCTAGGAGTTTTCTGTATGCCCTTCACTTTAGTGGGGAGTTTATTGAGAAATTTCATCTTTGGTGACGTCATGTGTCGACTTATTCCATATCTTCAAGGTATGAACTAAATTTATTTATTTTTAATGCATTTGGTTCTTAGTAATTTGCAAACATCTGAAGATATATTGAAAATCGGTGATATTATTTATAAAGTTTAGTAAAAAGAAGTAAAGCAGCTGTTACTTTAAGGACGGAATGAATATTGGAAATATAAATGTTTATTCAGTCATATGTAACTGCATATTCAGGGTAACATTACAAAATAAGTATGTATTCATATTACCTAAATATTTGAAGAGCTTTACAACTCTCTTTTAGAACTCTATCGTTGTCATTTTTATTTTAAAGAAAGTTTTAAGTCATGTTGAATAATTTCCTGTGGACTACTCCTTCCTACTCTATGTTTCTGGAGAGCACGTTTCGGATTCTGTACTGAATTCTTCTGAAACGTCGTCGCTAAAACCAGGCAGTAGCAATTTAATTAATTGCCTTTAAAGTTCCATTTGTAAATCCTAATCGAAAGTTCATCATCATGTATTTACTTTCTTTGTACGTTGGAAGTTCTAATCAACCACACTGAGGAATAACACGATTAACAATGGGTAAATAACAGACAATTAGTTCCATTTCATATTCTCAGTACTGTCTCTCGTCTCGATCTGAAATACAGTCATTTAGAGCAAGTATATTGACCCCTGAATTAGTACTGAGGGATTAGTTATGGACGAAAAATTAAATGGCTTATTTGTAATAAACCGGAATATTAGTTATTGCTCCTATTTTTTAGGTTTATGTACGAAATTTCAGGAAAGATCATGATCAGAATAAAACGAACAGCAGGATGAATAGCATTAATAATATGATGTTCTTCGATATTCACTTATCTGCCAAAAAATAACTGTATTTTTTTTTAGGTTTTGATACCTGCTTGGAGTAGAAATAGTTCACACATATATTACATTTTTTATTAGAAACTTTCTATTTTCACAATTCACGCTCATACTCAAATTTCAAATATATTTTGATTAATTATATTGTTTTCGAAACATGTAGTTTTTCATAAAAATAAACATATATAGTACGAACACGACAACATCAGTATCCAGAAGACGTTTTATTTTTTTCAGGGACTTAAAATTAAAATAGAAATTACTCGAAAGTATGAGCTATCTCGTAAATAACTAAATTTATCCCCTGTTTAGCTCTTTATACTTGTACCGACTGTTAGTCAGCTGAGAAATAGGTTATGTATTTTCAACTGAATGTCAATTGTTTACTTGTTCGTTTAAATAGCTACATACGCAATAGAAAAATAAAGAGATATTTCAAAACCAGTAATAATACAGCAGTGCTCACTTTTTATGGAATATAATAGCTTACTTTATGCACGAAGCTGTTAATGCACTGTATCGATCCGACACTTTCATATTTTCATTTTGTGTGTTTGTGTGTGTGTATTACGTTCATAATGGCCCCCAGTGGCACAGCGGTATGTTTGCGGACTTACAACGCTAGAAACCGGGTTTCGATACCCGTGGTGGGCAGAGCACAGATAGCCCTTGTGTAGCTTTGTGCATAATTAAAAACAAACAAACAAACGTTCGTAATGCTTTCATTTTACATCTCATTATTTTCTTATTATACTAATATTATGTTTTTGTACCGAAACTTCAGACTGTAAACGAATTATATTTTGTAACGAAACGTCAGTCTTTCCACTATTTAGGTCTACATGTATTTTTATGGGTATTATATTTTATTACTGAACAGCGACTAAAGATGATATCCTCTCCAAATTATATATGTCTCTGTTAACATTCTACCATTTTGAAGCGTCACCTTGCAGCTTCAAATAAAATAATATTTCATTCTTCTCATTCGATTATCGTTTTTAACTTTTCATCAGTGTTTTTAAGGTAATTATAGCATAAAAGTTGGGAATAATCAATTTTTGTGTTATACAAAATTGTTTATTTTATTAAAATACATAAAGGCGTCCTATACCTAAACAAACTTAAGGTGAGCGAGTAAATGTAGGTGCTTGTTTGCTAAACCTACGCCTAATGTTGCATCATGGTGTGTTATATGTATGTAGATCACGATGATAATCCATCACGGTGGTAGTCTATCATGCAGATAATATATCACGGTGTTATTCTATCATGCATATAATCTAACACAGTTGCATTTTATCATGCAGATCATCTGTACTGCTGTGCTACAAGCAAGTACTTTCGTGTGAACTGCTAGACTGTTATTAGGAAATAATCTGTCATTGGTTGCTATATGCACGTAATCTGCCATGGGTTACTATACACATGGAATCATTCATGGGTTACTATGCACACTTAATCTGTCATGGGTTACTATACACATTTAATCTGTCATGGGTTACTATATGCATGTAATCTGTCATGGGTTACTATATGCATGTAATCGGTCATGGGTTACTATATGCATGTAATCGGTCATGGGTTACTATATGCATGTAATCGGTCATGGGTTACTATACATATGTAATCATTCATGGATTACTATATGCATGTAATCTGTCATGGGCTACTATGCACACCTAATCTGTCATGGATTACTATATGCATGTAATCTGCCATTAGTTACTATACACATGTAACCTGTCATGGGTTACTATACACATCTAATCTGTCACGGATTACTATACACATCTAATCTGTCATGGATTACTATACACATGTAAACTGTCATGGGTTACTATACACATCTAATCTGTCATGGATTACTATACACATGTAAACTGTCATGGGTTACTATACACATGTAACCCGTCATGAATAGTTTAGTTAAAAGCAGGCGGTTTTCTAGAATGCTATAAACAGGTAATATGCATGTATTATTATATAGGCAGATAATCTGTAATGGATTACTATGGGCAGGTAATCTGTCTTGCACTGCTGTAGGTAGGGTAATCTGTATTATATTATTATAGGTAGGATACGTAGTCTGTACTGTTATTTTGCTATTTTGTACTGCTATATGAAAGGTAATCTGTTTTGTAGTGCTATAGGTAAGTTAATCTGTCTTGTATTGTTACATGTAGGATAACTTGTATTTTACTGCTATATGTTCTATAAACAGTTAGTCTAAGTAGAAGCATACGGTATTCTGAAATCCAGAAAATTTATTTTTACTAGATATTCAAGTACTTACCCCCATTTATCCTTATGTTTGTTTTTGCAATGATTTATTGTTGACAAACTTCATCTTTTATTAACATACTTTCGAAGGTCATTCACTGATTAACTATATTCGGATCACATCTGTGTAGTAATTATATTTATTTGGAAATGACAGGATCCTCAAAGGTAAACTTGTTCATTAAGATTCATAAGACGTTAGAAGTTTTTCCAAGAGATTACACGATATCATAACATTCATTCGTCTTTCTATTTTTGTCGGTTTTGTTTTGTTTTTAGTGATTTACACAATGAAAGGTAAAATTATATTCTAAAAAAAAATGCAAAGCAATTTCACCCTTATTTATTGCTAAAAATATGAAAATATAGTTTTCTGTAATCATAAGATAAAGATATGTTCAGATCGGGGATTTAGAATTACCAAGTCAGGGATATATCTTTTATTTGAAGGTATTATAAAACAAAGGAATACTGATTAAGTTGGGATTCCACAGGACCATCCTGAAAAAGGCATACAACAAGTCGTACTCCAGCCATGGCAGATTAATTGCGACGTCTTCCACTGCCACAAGCAACATTACTCGGTACGGATCTCTGTCAAGTCACGTGTGTACAAGTTGCATCCACAAACTATTTGTTGAACCGTTACACACCTCAAGCAGCTGGAGAATTAAATGGGTATTCATGCTGTTCCGTAAGGAAGATACCAGGCAAATTGCCGGAAGTCACGCCTGTGGGTTTCTGTGCGATCTGACTGTTCAAACGGGCGCTGGGAAACCATCGTCTTGCTGCATTACATAGATTAAGGAAAACAACAGGGAGGACGAGAGCGTCTTAAATATTGCAGCTTTAAGATGAAGCCCTTTGCAATGGAAACTGCGTTGCACTGTTATTATCAGAAATTCGAATAAAGCATGATCGGTATTGAAGACTTGAGGAGGCTTCAAAATACTTTTAATACAGTCTTGGCCAAAATGTTTGCATATTTCGTAACCAATAATATCATTATTATTAAGATGGAATACAAATACACTTAACACTGTCAAACTGATAAATGTATGTTATATTAAACATCTACATATGTAATTTGTACAATGAAACGAGTTCTATGAACATCATGAACGATTTATTAGAACAGCAAAAAATTTTATCAGACGCCGTAGAAAGATGTGTAATTCAGCAATTAACTTATCACAACAAACTTTACTAAAACATATATAATAACAAAATATAACATCAAATTATTATAAATAGCGTCTGTAACTTTATATAAATTCATATTAAACAATCAGTACTTGGTTGATTCTTCTCGTACTCTAACAACCTCTGCAAGGCGATGTGACATGGATGAGGTTATTGATGTAATCCACTGTGATTTCATCCCAACATGTCACTAGAAGACGCTGCAACTCAGCTACAGTAGCTGATTTATGGTCATGGTTAGCAATTTCTGGCTCCATTCTTTCCAATAGTTCTCAATGGGATTACAATCTGTAGACTGCTGGCCATGGCAATCTTGTAATGTCCTCCTAGTCGAGATAATCCTGTACAATCTGCTCACTGTGAGCAGTGGCAGTGTCATCCTGGAACACAAGGTTATTGCGAGATCTTTCCTTAGCATATAGAAGAAATGTCGTCTGCATGTCATGCCTGTAAGAGGCACCATTGGCGTTTCCCTGGAGAATGTCAAGAGCAGTTTTTCTACCATGATGAATAGCTGCTCAAACATGTACTGCACCACATCCTATGTGTTCCTATAGGAAAGCTAGTATTCCCTCATCTGTTCTCCAGGCAAACGACGAACACGAAATCTACCATCAGTTTTAACAAGGCAGGAACAGGACTTATCTGAAAAGATGACATGTCGCCAGTGTCCTAACTGTAAGTTGATATGCTGTCTTGCTCAAGAAACATAATGACGGTAGTAAATTCTGGTTAATATTGGTTTGAATATAGCCCTTCTTGCAAAATAACCTTGTTTGGTCAGTATCCTATTCACTGTTCTTCTGGATACCCTGGAATGAATATGTTCATGCCATTCTTGTTGTAAGGTGTTGCAAGACTTCTTTCAACCTTGACGTGTTAACCTGATCAAAACATGGTCATCTTGGACAGTAGTTTTTCGGCGTCTACCAGTAGACTTTCCTGTAGTCTGATGACGTTTAAGAATTCTGGATACAGTACACTGAGGGTTACCTACTGTTCTGATAATGCCCGGTTTTTTAATGCCATTTCATGACAGTCCAGCAATTTGACGCCCTATAACTTCTAGAACGTGACGAGACATGACTACACACCAAGTACAGTGAAATTGTCTGAACAAGGCGTTGATCTGTAGAGAAAAATGTGATACCAACAGCACACCCTTTTATATAAAACAGGTGTGTATGTGTGTTTGATGGGACAAATGCTCAAAACAACTTATAGTGACCAGAATAACAACTCGTATGTGTTTCTCCGACCATATGATTCCTTCTCTGTTACCACTCAGACATGTACTGAATAACCATTCTATGCATGTAGACAATAACATCAATATCGAACAGAATGCAAACATTTTGGCCAAGACTGTATAACATACTCAATCTCTGTATCATCATATATTTGTTATTAAAATATGTTGTATAAGTAAGCCTAACATTTATGAATTTTTGCTTATTTTGATTGAAGCAGAAACGGTTAGGCTCAAAATTTCAAAATAAGTAAGAGTTCTAAAATTTCTGCATCACTTGTAATTTTGACGAAAGAAAAACAAATGCAAGTGAATTTCTAATACCTATATTGTGAATTAAAGTTCAGTAACACTTTGTTGATTGTTTAATCTCGGCTTCTTTGAAGAATCAGAAATGTCTCCTTCACCCCTATCAGATCTTTACTCATTACTTTGAATATTTAGGGAGATGGAATCACATCACATTCTCCAAGTGGATAATGCTTGAGTTGCCATTGAACCTAGGATTAGAATGTTCTTTCAAACGATATCCCAGTCTTATGACAATCGATCCGACGTAGACGCCCTCACACGTTGGGCAGCAGAATTCATAAATGATACATGACTGTTGAGAGAACTGGATTCGATCTTTAAAACTGAAAATAATCTTGAATTACCAATAGATGTCTAAACACACATTGAAAGTGAACTGTTGGAGAGGTTCTATTGATTATGTTGATTAATTTCTTCTTCAACATTCGTCAGTGTGAGCCTGTATATGATAGAGAAAGCGTTACTCGTAGCTTTGGGTTACCAGGATAAAGGGAATTGTTGAACGGTTTTATCGATGGTGGAATCTATTAAATTGCTCGTTAAGGAAATAAGTTAAAATATATTCCGATTTGTCCAGAAACACTTCTAATTCGTCTTACATATCAGCTAATATAATATATTAGAATTATGTTTTGGTCAGTATCAACACCTCCTAGGCTAACACTTGTAAATTATTACTCAAAAGATATAGAATATTCATAGTCAGTTCTCTTGTTTTCATAGTTTGACTTCTTTACCGCAAGTGGATGACAGAGTAGTCTTTACGTTTCCAGTAATAAATTAAAATTTAATAAAATGTTTAATATTCGACCACAGTTAAATAGCTATACTGTTACATGAGATTATAATATTTTCACTGAAACTTGTGAATGCCATATTTTAGTTTTTCATAGGTTATTTCTCAACCAAACTAACAATAATTAGCTGAACAAAAACTATAGTGCAAGATGTTGTTTTCATTTTATAAATCACTTTTCTTTATTGAGAAGTATAGCTAATCATACCATTTTAGAAGTATTAAAGTGTCTTAATCCTTTGTTATAATGTTCGCTCACGTTCTTGAATACTTTCTTCTTAGCATCGCCTTCTATAGTTTTTTCTTCTTTTTCAAACAACACAAATATTTTAAAGGACAACATTTCTTCATTGCATTCATCTCAATTTTGGAAAGTAAGGCGTATTCCTTTTTGTTTTCAGTTGATAATTATCGTTACTCTCTAGGTGTACTATCACAATAAAAAGAAATAAAGCCATCCAACGTAAAGTATCCATAAACTGTCGGAGGAAAGATCTGTTTGTTTTGAATTTCGCGCAAAACTACACGAGGGCTATCTGCGCTAGCCGTTCCTAATTTAGCAGTGTAAGACTAGAGGAAAGGCAGCTAGTCATCACCACCCACCGCCAACTCTTTACCAACGAATAGTGGGATTGACCGGCACATTATAACACCCTCACGGCTGAAAGGGCGAGAGCGTTTGGTGTAACGGGGATTTGAACCCGCGACCCGCAGATTGTGAATCGGGCGTCCTGGACATGCCGGGCCGGGAGGAAATAATTTTTATGATAAGAAATGCTAATTGAGCTTTCTTTTTTTAAAAAAATCTGAAACTGATAAATGTAGAACCTAAAGTTTGAATGCCAGGAAATGTCCAATCTGTATTTCCTTACACAACTCTTCTTACGTCTTTCATGTTCACGAATTTATTACACAAAAGTTCAAAATAATAAGGAAGAAATATATATATATTTTATATTAACATTTCATTATTCAGGATCTGGCATACGTTTTAATGTATTTACTCTTTATTTCGATAATATAATATACAAAAAATGCTCACACTGCAAACGTTTCGTTTCTAGACTTCTAACATGTGTACCTTTGGAGTTCACTTCTATTACTAAATCGTTTTGTAGCTCCAAATCCTTCTCACGGTTACACTTAGCGTATTCCTATTGATTGTCCTTCTCAGCGGCTGTGGTAATCTAATCAACGGCAGTTTCGCTCAAGGTTCGCCGACTATACAAAAGAAAGGATCTCGTCTTATTTCATTACTACAGAAAGTGACGAGTGTCTTTTGTGATAAGAAGTTGATACGGGAAACAACTGACTGTCGCATGTAACTCAAAGAAAGTGGCAATTTTTATTTTTTTTATCAAATCTTTGTCCTAGGCGGGTGGATTCATCTTCTTCCATTTTTTTTTCGTTCTCTATATTTCGTCTCTCTATCTTTTCCTGCTTCACTTCATCAATTTATTTTTAACCCAATTTCTGTTAATTTGCCTAATTCTATCGTTTGTATCCCATTCTCTCTGTAATTTCCCAGCCTTGAATTATTAGTTAGTCCTGGGTCTCATTTTATCCACGTTTCCGATTAACCAGTTTCCTGTATTTGTCTGTTCCTAGTAAATCATCAAGCAGCTATCTTTAGTCTAAATCATGACACAAATGTGGATTATGTAATAGTAAATTTGATATTACAGCCCTGGCCAAAATATTTACATATTTTATACCAAATAAAATCATTATTATTAAGATGGAATACAAATACACTTAGCGTTGTCAAACTGAGAAATGCATGTTATATCAAACATCTACATATGCAATTTGTACAATGAGACAAGTTCGATGGACATCATGAACGATTTATTAGAACAGCAAACAATTTTATCATACACATGTAGAAAGATATGTGATTCAGCATTTCACTTATTACAACAATATCTTACCAAAACATATATAATAACAAAATATAACATCAAATTAAAACAAATAGTATATGTAACCTTATATCAGTTCATATTAAACATTCAGCACTTGGTGGTCTTCCTCGTACTCTAATAAGGCGATGTGGCATACTGTCAATGAGGTTATTGATGTAATCCACCGCGATTCCATCCCAACCTGTCACTAGAAGACGTTGTGTCTCAGCTAAAGTAGCTGGTGTAGAGTTATGGTTAGTAATTTTTCGCCTCAGTTCTCCTTAACAGTCCTCAATGGGATTACAGTCTAGAGACTTTGCTGGCCATGGAAATCTTGTAACGCTCTCCTGGTCGAGATAACCCTATACGATACGCAAACTGGAATACAAAGCTATTTCCAAGCCTTGCCCTAGCATATGGCAGAAAGTTTGTCTCCATGTGGTGCCTATAGGAGGCACCATTGACGTTTCCCTGGAGGATATGAAGAGCAGTTTTTTTTACCATGATTAATAGATGCCCAAACATGTATTGTACCAACTCCTGTGTGTTCCTTGCGGGAAAGACAGTCTTCCTTTATCTGTTCTCCAGGCAAACGACGAACAGGAATCCTACCAACAGCTTTAACAAGCCGAAAACAGATGACATGTCGCCAGTGTTATAATTGTAAGTTGACATGCTGTCTTGCCCAAGTAACACAGTGACGGCGGTGAATTCTGGTTAAATATCGGTTTGCAGATAGCCCTTATTGCAAAATAACCTTGTTTGATCAATCTCCTGTTCACTGTTCTTCTGGATATCCTGGAATAAATGTGTCCATGTCATTCTTGTCAAAAGGTGTTGCAAGACTTCTTTCGACCTTGACTTGTTAACCTGACCAAAACACGGTCACCACGAGAAGTAGTTTTTTGGCGTCTACCAGTAGACTTTCCTGGAACAACGTTTCCTGTAGTCCGATGACGTTTCAGGATTCTGGATACAGTACATTAAGTGTACCCA